ACAATTAACAGTTTTTCCAGGGGAATGAAGAGGAACATGCCTCTCCGGCCTATTTTTTGGTTTTTGGGTGTAAATTGCTCAGTTAAGATCAATTTTCGACCATAATCCACGGCGTCACAAAATTGTTGCCACGGTCTTCGCCCTCAAATTGTGGTTTAATATCGACCCTTGAAAAGCAGTGACGGTTTGTCGACCGAACGCCCGCTCAAGACTGATTTTTTACAAAATAAAATCGGCTCTTTAGAAAAAAAGTTTGTTCGAAAACGCATGTGTGAATAGCAAAATTGCAAAAACAACGAAAATAACACCATGGATGGCACTCTCTTAACCCCAAAAGCCACACAATAAGAACTGAACAGCGCCCTCTGCTGACTTTGGAATTGCTTTGGGGCGGAGGGTTGCGCTTTTTTAAGTTGTTTAGAAAAGCGAATTCCGCCAAAATTTCCCATCTTTCCCTTTTCTTACCAAAGCTTATCTCCCAACGGAACTTTCATCCATATGAACTATTATGACACCCCCCCCCTTATGCAAATCGTAGAGAAATGGCTTTCCATTTTGTTGAACGGTTTATCTTCAGACCACCGTCTGGAAATTCTGAAGTGTCTGTGGTTCATCGTTGAATTAAAATTACCATTTCAGTCCAGAAATCTGGTCGAGGAAACAGTGGCAATATTTTATTACCAATAATTTTGCAATGCTATGAACCTGCTAACCCTCTTTTAGGGCGGCATAGGTTTTGTAGTTTATTGAGTTTGGGGTCCAAAAAAAAACAGAACAACAAAGCAAACTCAATCATTTCCTTTGCTATGTAACTGTCTTTTTTCCATCTCACATAAGCAAAGTTTACATTCATCTATTACAAAAGGTTTGTTCTCATATAGAAAATGTATATTTTTAATAAATGTGAATACACTCTCTTGCTCACTAATTTTGGTCAATCGTTTCAGAAAGCTTCAAGCATAATTTGTGTAGGTCATTGTGTTTTTACACAACCTCAAACTAAATATAATCGAAACACACCAAGGGTTGTGTCACTTTTGATATTAGCTATAGCTTACATTAAAAATCATCATCTGTTGAGAACCCATCAAGTCGCAAAAAAATTGTGTGCAGTTTACATGTACAGACAGTATACTAAATTCTTAAACCTTGTTTTCAATTAATTTTAGTCAATTTTGGGGTTTCTTCAAGCTAGATTTGGTCCACAAAACAAACTGAATCAACACTTAACAAACATTACAAGAATATCAACCAGATGTATGTTTGTTTCAGATCAGTTCAGTATCAGTTTGGATTTGCACAATATATAAATTTTTTTATGCACCATAAACATTTTCATTTGCCTTCAGTTTGTTCCATCCCAATAACGAAGTATGCACTGTGTACAGGAACAGGAACGCGAAGCACTCAGTAGTACGGGAGCATCTCATCTGTGGAACGTCAGCAAAGTGTGGCATACATCTTGTAGCTGCAAGAAAAGTTTTTAAACAAATGCATCAGTGCCAGGGAATATTGGGTATGGCTTAACCACCCTACCCCAAAAAATGATCAATAATCAATAAGTAAACAATTTTGATTTAAATAAATGAATACAAAATTAAACATTTTAAAAACAAAACACTTTTTTCTTTAACACTTAAAGAAGACCACCCTTTTCTTCCATGTCTACCCCTGTAAACTTTTCACTGCAAATTACAAACAACTAATTTAAATAAACACATATGCATTGCAACCGTGATAGTGTTTGTCACTGTGGCACACGCATGCAAGTACCCCCACTCAAAGAGTGTACTGCCTACAATTGAGTAACCTCTTATTGTCCCTTTTTTGTTTTGTACCTCCACTTTCTAGGAAGACCTACCATATGTTTTGTACACATGTCCAATTTGTGGACATTTGGGACGCTATTGTCCTCTATCGTTCAGCGTCCCCTATTCAGGCATGCAACTGGGAAATCACAAAAAAAGAGGAAATTCACCTTTTTTTCCCAGACTTTGTACAGTGTTTTTCTATTTTCAATAGCATATGGGAAGTAAAAAAAGAAGAAATCAGCTGATCCGAGGAAAAGTTTCATGCCTGCCTATTGAATGCAGAAACAAACTAAACACATCTAGTCATGTCTAGTTTACACTCACAAGGACCCGCTGTTGTTCCCTTCAATTTTTTCTTTTGGTTTGTTTATTTGCTTTTTTTTCCTATCCCTTTCTTTCCTAATTGGAGACCAAAACAGTTACTGCCAAACGCAAAGTGTATTGTACACTAAAAACAAACCTGTGATCGGCAGGATCTTGATCATCACGTGCAGCTTTTGTCCTGAATTAAAAAAAAAAATTAAAATACAAGTTAATATTACTAAAAGCAGGTTTCTTAAGAACGCAATGTCACTCTTCGGATCAGGTAATTTGTTTTTCAGTCGGGTAGGGTTGGTTAGCCATCGCGTAAAAAACCCCAAAAACTTGCACGAAAACACACGGGATACAATAATACAGTCTTACTAATATTAATATTAAGCGTGAACACAGCGTCAACACCTCCAAAACGCATTCAAACCGACAAAACTAGTGTTGCTCAGCGTATACCGATTAGCTTGGGCCATTGCCAGATCACGTCCGAATGTTAAAAAGGCAATAAGTTGGGAGCAATTCACTCGGACTAGCATGTTCATGATGTTTACTCCTAGAACTATGACTCAGGCTCCACGTAGTGGAGCCTCATACGTGGAGCCTCATAGTTCTAGGAGTGTCTCCACTACGTGGAGCCTCATATAGTTAGAATGAATGTTGCATCCTGGCCCGACGTGCCTGTTTTAATCGGTAGTGTTCAAAAATATGACAAAAGCAGGAACCTTTTCTAGGTATTGACCAACAAAATCAGAACTGTTTCTTAGTCCCCGATTCATGTCTTAACATGCTAAATTACGCCCATCCGCCTTTTATTAACCAATCCAACATGGCGACCAGCAGCATGCAACTGCAAACGAAACTTTAATAACTTAGGCTGTGTCCGACACGGGCGTCTAGGGCTACGTCTAGGGCTATTGTCAGCATCGGCCATTTTGAAGTCGTGTCCGAAATGACGTTTAGCGCTACGGTTATGGCTACAACGTCATCAAAATCTAGCCGTGAATTTTGTTGTCTACGAATTGGCGCTAAATTTCTAAACAAAATGGCGACCGACATGACCGAGACGGAAACAGCTGGTCGCTCTGCCGCTGGTGGGAGTGTTTGTGTCAACGAGACTCACAGATGTAAGTTTTTGGTCAAATGAACCTGTTTCCTTTGATGAAAAGAAATGTTTTAACTTCTGGTCCACCTCTTGTTGTTACTGTGAGTGAAATTCAGTGATAAACGGTCGGAATAAGCCGGCCCCGGCCCCGGCGATGTGTTCACACGATATAATGCGTACATCAAAGTAGTAGTCTCTCTTTAGTCTCTAGGCCTACATAATTATTGAAATTTGAATGTCAGAATTGCCATGATGATGTAGAAAGCCTGTGCCACTGATGCAAAAATATCTGGATCTGCCCTAGCCCCATAAATAGTGTCAATACGCTAGACTACCTCTGCTCAGTGGCCCTAATCCTTTTGCACCAAAACGAAAGAGATTTTCTGAAAATTAAACCCACAAGGGCCAAGTCATTTTTTTTTTGGCCTTTTTTTTTGGGAAATGTTTACTTATCCACAGCACAATTCAGGCAATGCTGTTAACAAAAATGTGCTGGTTACTTTTGTAAAATTCAAGTTGAAATTAGAGGGTTTTTTTAATGTCTGTATTGCTGGCATATTTCTCCCTAGAATTTCATGAAAAATGAGCCAGCACTTATTGGCACTAGGCCTATTTACATGATTTATAGGGCTATCTGCCCGTTTTACTATTTATGACATTTAAATTGTGTACAAGAATTGTCAGTAACTTGAAATAAATATAGCGAGAAGTATAAAATGGTTCTTCCTCCATGGTGTGCCAGAAAACACCATGGACATGATGGATAACATTCCCAGATTTTATTGGAAACAGGTCAACTCGTACTCTAACCAACTCTTACTCCAACCAACTGGTACTCATTTAGGTCAACTTGTGCTCGCGCCAACTCGTACTCTGACCATTTCGTACTTGTATATTATTTTTGGTGTTTTTGTATTTTCATTTGATGTATTTTTTCTTATTGAATACCTTGATTATTTTAAAATGTATGCAATAAATGCGAGTATTGCCCTGAAAATACTTTTTAAAATTATAAATACTATTTATAATAGGCCTAAATAAAAATAAAGCAGACTTTTCTGTTAAATAGACGTGGGGGAGGGAGAAATTCAAACCAAAACAATTTTAGTATACTTTACCCCATCTGATTAGCAATGTACAGCTGTGCCCCATGTACAGTTTTTATACTGGTACTGTACACAGCCAAGCAAAACCCAAACGTTGGTGTTTGGCAGGGCTGCGACAGATAGGGTTAATTAAGTAATAAATTCAACAGAAAAAAATCAAATCAAAATCAAATCAAATACTGATAAAAAATAATACTTGAATAAAATTACTAAAAGAGTTTATGAAATTGAAGTTCATCACTTCACGTAGCGCGATTCAGCGTGCAAATCATAAACGAGCACAAGTTAGAGTTCGAGTTGGTTGAGCACGAGTTAGTTGGAGTACGAGTTGGTTGAGCACAAGCTGGCAAGGGTACGAGTTGACTCAAATTCATTTTATTATTTATTTTTAACAAGTTAATTTGTAGGAATGGAGGGAGGAAGAAAATGGTTATGGTTAAAGGGAAGTAGGCCCCCTAGTTTTTTTTCTTGTTTTTTTTTTTTGGGGGGGGGGGGTTGTTTGTTTGTTTGTGTGTTTGCTTGCTTGTTGTTGCTGCTGTTGTTCTTGGTGTGTGTTTTTTTAGGGGGGGGGGGCAGCTTTACTGAAGTACTGACAGGTCCCCCTGGCCTACACAAGTAAAGATATGAAAGTGTGGACAAATGTCTATTTACAATTGGTGTAAAATTCTTTTCAATTATAATAGGGACTGAAGATGAGTTCCGACTGTTTATTCAGATGCGTGAAAAGCACAACATGAAATTCAAAAGTGGCAAGCGAGGGGCTTCCCGTGATGCTTTCACGTAAGTTTTTAAGATTGGGTTTAGAATCTTGAAAGAATTAAAAATTATCATATACATGTACCTGGGACAGTTTAAACATAGGCATCCAGGCATGCTACTCTTCTATGGATCAGCTGATTTCCTCTTTTTTCTTGGTTTTACTACATTTGTGTACCATAGTCAATGGAAACCTGCAACACACTGTACAGATATTCGTACCCGAGGCAGTTTCCTTCAAAATGCACATCTGTGCATTGTACATGTATACCTGGTCTTCTCCAGGTTCTGTCAACACCTTGTATAAGAGAGAAAGGTGACAAGGTCTTACATGACAGTTTAAAACTGGCAGGGTTGTGGCCGAGTGATAGTTCAATATTGACGGTCCTTTAAGTTTATATTTGCATTTTCATATTATACAGAATAATACTGAAAGAGATGGATCTTCTGGACAAGGTAACTCCAGAGCAAGCTCGCAAAAAGTGGACCAACTTGTCCCAGAAGTATAAGGTATTTTCCCTCTTTTGTTATCTTGAAGTATCTTCCATTTGATTTGAAACACATATTGCACGGAAAGATTTCCATATACGAAGTTCACAAATTTTCCTCTGTATTGACTAACAAGCCCCCAGATAGCAATGTCATGTCATCAAAGTCAATTTCAGCAGTGAGAAAATACAAGCATTTTCTTAGAAAACACTTACAATTTTTCAGTCCAATCTCGTAGGGTTTGTACACAGGGTGTTGAGTGAACTTCGTAGATGGAAATCGTTCCTATTGCACTTATAATAATAGACATCCAAAACCCACAAGATATGCATAGTAAAATTTTGTGATTTTTTTCCTATTGAAGTGAATTTTATGATTTGGATAATAGTTAAACTTCCCGCTTTTGTGCACAGGAACTGAAGCATCCACCGACTGGAACAGGAACTGAGGAGGGTGAGGACACAACAGTATCCTGGTCATATTTCCAAGATATGGACAAAGTTTTGGGGGGAAGACCTATCATTACTCCACCCTGTCTTGTCTCTTCATTTGAGACATTTCCAGAGGAGCAGGCTGCATCCACTTCAGTCGAAGAGCAAAGTAAAGTATCTAGTCCTCCGTCCAATAAGAGAAAGAATGCCAGCGATGAAGTTATCGAGATGATAAAACAGCAACACTGTTTTTTGCGCAGTCAAGAAGAACAGATACAAAAACAAAATGATGCTCTTATTGGCCTCCTGGGGCGTCTTGTTACCGCAGTTGAAACCAAAGCCTATGAAAAGTGATTTACAGTTTTGGCTTTTCATGCTGCCTGTCACAAAACTTATGTCAAATTTGGTTATGATTCAAACAGTTTCAATTGGTTTTGTGGGTTGGGTGGACAACATTTGTTTGGTACCACAGCCCCACCCAAATACACTGTAAAATTATTTGGTACAATAGTGGGCTTCAATTGTCGAATTTGAATGTTTATTTATTCCATTTTTAATGTTCATTTATTCCATTTTTAAAAATGTTCTGCCAAATTAATAGAGCACCTCTAAGGCCAAACTAAGTTTTGCGATGCACTCATTTTCAAATAGATAGAACCCTTAATAAAATGTGTACAAAATTACAAGCGTCTAGCCTTCCATGAAAGTGTTGTAAATTGAAATTTTATTTGATACCATTTCAGTGCAAAATATTTTAACACAGTGATGTCACATTGTGAACAATTATGATAAGTGGGTCTGTAGGACTTCATACAAATTTTCAACCCATTTTTTTTTCAATGCCAATTCGATTGAGCATTATGGAAATTCATGCACTATAAATATACCCATTCCCCGTACAGGGTATTTACAGGCCCCACTTCTCATGTTTGTTTACAACGTGACGTCATTATGCGATAAGGTTTCACACTGAAATTATATCAAATATATTTACAGTTTTTACCACTTTTATGTAAGGTTAGAGGCCTGTAATTTGTCACATTTTGTTAAGGGCTCTGTTCATTGGGAAATAAGTCAATCACAAAACTTAATTTTACCTAAGAGATGCTCTTTAATTGTTAAAATTGTCATCTATTAAAATTCGAAAAAGGTGGGGGAAGAATGACAACATATTTACACATTAAAATGTTACGTATTTACAAAAAAAAAAGTTCAGCAGCTATCTATTTACAAAAAAACCCCAGCAGCTATCTATACTTTCAAGACCAGCTGATATATTTATTTTTTAAAAGCAAGCCTCGGATCTATCAGGGTTTTGAAACAGAAAAAGCTGCTCTTGAAGATAGAAATATCTGTTTTGGAAAATAAAAGCCTTCTTGAAAATATAAATGACTTGTCTGGAAAATATAGATTGTGGTGTGGCAATAGCATTTGTTTTTGGCCATGCATCGCAGGGTTAATAAGTAATTTATAAATACTCCAGACAGTTTCAATATTCCTATTGGTGGAGAGCATGTCACGTGGGGGTGTTTTAACGGTTGATAAAGGCACAGCTGGAGCTGTTTATAACCAGTTGTTTCGGATAGCATTTGTGCGGGTTAGCCCATGGATGCGAGGATTTGTTACTATGCGCACAAATGCTATCCGAAAACTGTCTCATAAAAATGCACCATCACGTAACAGAGCTCGAGAACATTGGAAAACATAAGTTTTACAGAGTTTCCTACTTTATTTTGCCTTTAACCAAAAGGGAATTTATGATTGGGAATAAAAGAGTAGTGACTCATTTTTAAATGGCCGTTTAAGACCTTGCAGGGCCCGGTTCGGCTTGGTCCTTTATCACACGGCCACGACCCTGCAGGTTTTAAACGGCTGTTTAAGAACTCGTCACCACTCATTTTTTCCCTTATTAATATCTTTACTTGGCATTAAGCATTATACTGGGCATTTTCAATAATTATTATTCTCAAAATGTTGTTCATGTTATTCAAGGATTATACTGGGCATTTGCAATAATTATTTATTATCAAAATGTTGTTTATGTTATTTAAGACATGTAATATAAATAAACACAAATGTTATGTGAACTTGAATTATATAATGATGTTGTTATGTCCTATATAGCACCATACTCCTTTGTTAATCAGTGGACTTAAAATGGAACGACAAATAATACAACTATAGCTTTTTAAAAGGGGAATGTTATGCAGGCCTACTTGTCATCGATTTGATAGAAATGGCAATAGAGCAAACACCCTTTTCTCAATGCTTACAGATAGTCATGCTCATGAAGTTGCTGAACCATGTCTAATGGTTCAGATATTTGTGCAGCAATATGCCGTCTGAGTGGTTCAGCAGATACATGTCCCCTCTCGAGGTCATCTGGCTCCATAGCAGGTTGTTCATTGGGAGGATCATCCTCATCATCGTCTGCTTCCTCTGCCCACTTATCACATGATAGAACACACACATTATGCATAATCGCACATGCAACAGCAACTTTTGGCGCCAGAAAAGGAAAAATCTAAATTGACACAAAAAGTAATTCAATTTATTTTAAAATCATTTTGATAAAAAAAAGAGAGATGAAAGCGTTGAAAGCTTGGGGGTGTGGGGGGTGGGGCGGTTGTTAAAAACAAAACGTTTTTATAATGCTTTTTGAAACTGTTGAGAGATGGGCCATGCCTGACATTGATGGGTACGAAAAAGTTTGTCTTAAGATGATCCGAGTATTGCCCAGCCCAGTTGATACCAAGCGAGTAACTACATCTTTGAAATGAATGCACAAAAACAATGAATACATGTAGTGGCATCTGTTTACATTTTTTATACCCTTGTCAAGTCCATGTTCTTACTTCAAGTGTCTTTGTGAAAATGCTCCTCCATCTCGTCTTCATCCGACCGAAAGCCCTCTCAATGACTGTTCTAGCCCTGCTGCAGTGGTAGTTGTATCTTCCTTGTATTGGAGAGGCAGGAGCCTTGTGGGGAGTGAGAATAGCTAGAGGTCTGGATTGACATGGATATGCCGTATCTCCAAGTATGTAGTATCCTTCAGGGGGATAATCTCTCTGGCGGTGTAACGGGCTGCATTTAAGTACCCTTGAATCATGGACAGAACCTGGATATCCGGCAAATACATCGAGGAATACTCCTCTGTGATCACAGACTGCTTGCACTATGGAGAAAAAACAGTTTATGATTTATGTAGTCCTCTCGTCTAGAGTCGGGGGCATGATCTTGATGTGGGTCCCATCTATGCTACCCACAGCCATAGAAATATAATCCGTGTGTGCCAATCGACAATACCCCCTGGAAATTACAGGAATGTCATCTGGCTGTGGCAGTTTAATTATTGTTTTGATGCCATTCACACTCTCTTCAAGACCTTGTGAACTATATCACAGATGCTTGACTTGGGAATACCTGTTGCTGCGGAGACAACCCTATCAGCTGATCCACATGCAAGCCAAAACAGGAAGCACAGAAGTTGAATGTTTTCATCCCAGCCTTGGTGACTTTCTGTATAGAACACTGTCAGAAGTTTGGGGAAGGTGGCCTGTGTTACTCGACAGTGTTTTTTCAGTTGCAGTGGCTCCCTCACCAATTTAGCAACAAATGGACTCTGAGTCTACAATACGGCTGTCTTGGAAGATTCTGAAATTTTGAAAGTTTGATAAAACAGAATGACAACACGGTTGTTATTAACCATAGGTGCAAATCCCGGGGATGAAGGGGGGGGGGGGGGGGATCCCACCCCCACTTTTTGGAGGGGGGGGGTGGCCCATAGGATTACCCCCCCCCCCCCCCAGAAGTGGTTAAAAATTTGCTTATTTTTTTACTACTTCATAAAAAGTAAATAAATGATAAATGTACAATGTCGTTATGAGTGCAAACAGTTTTTGGGAGGTGAGGGTGTTTTGCCCAGCTCTACCTGAACTTTGAATGAAGTTTGTTTTAAAGTGTGCCTGTTTTATGTTATTTCTTTGCATACTACTGTACATGTGGCTTTGTGTCTTTAGGTTAAGTGACCAGTTTGTCACAAACAAGTATGCCAGTATGTGCAAATGTACTCCAAATGAGTATGTAGATTGATGCCTTGTCACACAGTGCCGTTTTGGCGATCCAATAATGTCACTTCTTAAGAAATTTGCAAAACTGAAGAAGGACTTGACAGCAACTGCTCTGAATGGAAGAGCTTGTATTGGGGACTTGTGGGGGGGGGGGGAGTGCATAGGTTGTGATAGACAGCGTACCGGTAGGTTGTGATAGATATTGGGAGGTCCTGACAGAAGGGCAAAGTGCATGTTCAAAACAAATGAGAGAGTCAGGAATGTCCCGTCCTCTGTCCTATTCACAACAGGGAGAGGACGCAGCAAGGTCAGGGTTTTCATATGGCTTTGAGGTGGGGCCAACTACCAACTGCATGCACAGAGCATCCACAAAGCCACCGGTACATATAGCTGCAACGATTTGTCTTCCACTCACTTTTGTTGGTTGTGACCACTGTATTAGGCACACGGCAAGAGAACATCACTGTGTGACAGGCATTAGAAAGAGGAAGAAAATGATCAACATTCTGACTGACCCAATAATAATGATAACAATTTTGCTTATGTGTAAGGCTTTCCATCGTATAAACAATCTCATCAGAGCGCTTTACAATTATTACCCCGTTCATCAGGCTATCGGACCACGCAGTAACTGATATCAGCGCTAAACCGGTCCTCGACCCTCACAGGTTCCCATTTGTACTCCTGGGTGGAGAGAGGCAATTGTATTTTAGTGTCCTGCCCAAGGGCACCAATTCCATTTTTCCTGGTACGGTTTGAACCCATGCAATTTCGTACATGAGGCAAACACCGTAACCACTCGACCATGGAGTTCTACCATGTGACCAGAACCAAATTAGTTATTATTTGATGGCCTGACAATAATTTGGATCAAAACTCACTGGGTTTCTCGGCCCCTGATTCCTTTTCTTCATTTCGAAGCGCCTTGCACTGTACTAAAAAATGTCGTACATCTGGCATGTCTGGGCTTCTTTATCTTCTTTGTTGTCTTCTTCTTTTTCATATTCTTCATCTTCTTCGTTGTCTTCATCTTCTTTATCTTCTTTCTCTTCGTGTACTTCTTCCTCTCCTCCTCCCTCCTGTTGCCCCTCCCCTCCTTCCTTACCTCCTGTAATGTCTAACTCCTGTTCTAAATCTTCTTCTGCTATACCTCCCCATACTCACATTTTCCAGCATCCATGATGCCTTTGAATGTGCAAAATAGAAAAAAAAATATTTATGGAGCGGAAATGGTTAGTTTATTTTTGCAAATATTGTTACACAGACGTTTGGTGAAGTTTTGTT